AAAAAAAAAAGAAAGAAGAAGCAACCCAGAAAGCAAAAGCCCCCCCCCCAGAACAATGTGAACCGATATTCGGACATGCCCCTGTAAACCTATATAATGTATCCCATACCTACGCGCACGAAGGGTACGCCCCAGAAGAGAAAAAGTAATGAAAACACAGCCAAGCAATGCCGAACACCATAGTATTCACATCTCCAAAAAGACCTCGGATAGAATCCAGGCAGGAAGGAGAGTGATATGCAATAAGAAAAAGACACCAGTGATACTGTGAACGCCAACAAGAGAGGGGAATCCGTTGACCACGGTCGCAACATATGTTTAAGAAGGAGACAAACTAGACAGGCCACTAATGAGTAAGGTCCATGTCATATTCATCTTCCTCCTTGAAGTTGACGGAAGCATGACCGCTGTTGTTCTCATCAAGGTCATGAGGATCATTCCAAAATTGGTTTGTGTCGTTCAGGTCGAGAGCGTCATCTGGGCTGATAGCAACAGGATCGAGGCTACTGCCGCCACCGGACAGGGACTCTCCGCGATAGTCAGTGTGCTGAGGCACTCGCAGACCGGATCCAGCTGTGCGCGAGTACGAGAGACCCTCACTCTTGGAGAAAGCATCCATGAGCTCTGTATGCATACGTCGCTCATCTTCTGTCATCTCAAAGGGAAAGTGACCACCGAGTTCAGTGATGGTATTGATCATTTCCTCTTGCTGTTGAAGCTTGAGGTGGAGCATCCACATGAGGTCTCGAGTCCAGCTAACAGCACCGTTGAGGATGTCGCCCTTGTTGGGTCCCTTGTCCTTGTCTTCGATGGGAAGACCTGTTGTGATGTTGCCAGCACTGGTTCCAGTGGCTCTTCTGGCGCCTGGTCCAGCGAGCCCTGAAGTTGCCTGGGGACTAGATATTCCGGTCAACGAAGGTGATAGAGGTGTGCCGTTCTGAATCAACTTTCGGATCTTCTCATCTTCGAGACGATGTGTGGGAACAAGCCTGCTAAGATCCTGGATTCTCTCATTGATGTTGTCTCGTCGACGACGCTCGACAAGATTATGAGACTCACGACGGCGCTTCCTCTTCATCTCCTGAGACGAAACAGCGTTCGAAGCGACACCGAGCTTAGCAGGCATTGAGGTACCGCCCTTCATCATGACCTCACTGATTTGGTTCATGCCTGGTTGCATGGGAGAAGAGAAGCCCGAGTTGTAAGAAGCGGGGATGCTTCCAGCAGGGGTGTTGAGCCATTGTCCATTGGCCGACTTCATGGCTTGACCGCCGAAACCTGGGGACTCCTGCGATCCAATCGTCATCCCATGGAGTGTAGCAGTTTTTGGGGTCATTGGGGACATGGGACTACGGCTGTTGTTGGAAGCTTTTCGTTGCATCTGCTGGGACATTCGGGCTCTGGCCTTGAGATAGTTAGGGTCGTTGCTGTCAGCATTCATGGCACCGGCTAAAGGAGACTCGGAATACGACAATGGCGAGTGCAGGGAGGTTCCAAGTGAATGGCCCTGCATTTGTCGATACTGAGGGTTGAAGCCGGTGTTGAATGGACTCTGAATAGGATCTCCGTCGGGAGTACTTGAGTAGCCGTTCATGTGAGACGGATCGATTTGCAAGCCGGAATTACGGTGGGAGAAGGCATTTTGAGAAAAGCCACCCATACTTAGCCCTGCGAAGTCCTGTCCGCCACCCATACCAGACTGGGTGACAGGAGGTCCATTGAGGCCATCGAGAAGCTCATCGTCATCAAACATGGCGGAGCTATTCGTGAAGCCGTTGGTGCCGTTCCCGGAATTTGAGTTGAAGTTGTTGTTGAAGGAGGGCGAGTAACCGCCAGACATGGCGAGATCATTGGGGTCGATACTCGCCCCGCTGTGGCCGTTGCCAAATTGATTGAAACCGTGTTGGGCCATTTCGACGAGGATGGCAAAGATGAGTTTGTTGTGTCGAGGATGGAGAGTCGGATGTTGACGCCCTAGCTAGAAGGGGATGTGGGCGAAATATTGTGGGCGTCCACCAGTTCGGCTAAGGGTGATGGTACGTTCAGAATACGAATATCAAGCTAGAACTGGCCTGTTGAGGGTTCGAGTCAGTATTCTGTCAAGACAGCGCGGAACGCAAAGCGGGGGAGAAGTAGAGAAGACCGGGCTCGGCGATGAGGAGCGGGCATCCATATATGAATGGAGTGCCTACCGCCGCGGAGGTTACACTGAGGAAGAAGAGTGGCGGGCGGAGAGCCGGGGGTTTGAGGCTTGTAACTTTGACTCACCAGATAGGCAGAGAGTGTTGGCTGCAGGGAGCAAACAGAGCAGGGTGAGATGGAACGAGCACTATCCGTAGTCCATAAACGGATTACCAGTGCTAAGTAGATAAGTAAAGGCTCGAAGGCGACGAGTAGCTGGTCCGTCGGATATGGTGGGAGCCAAAGGAAGATTAGATTGTGAGAGATAGATAGATGTCGTAAGTCGGAAGGAGAAGTTCGGGGTCGGAGGGGGTTGAAATGGCGGGCACCGAGTGCGCAGCGCAGGGCCTCCAGGTAGGTAAGTACCTACAAGGGGTTAAGCGTTGGGGGGCGTTTCCTGGGCGTGTAGGTACTCCGCAAGTCGAAAGAGCAGAGTGCGGGCTGGGCGCTTGGGCTGGAGTTACTTGGTAACGCACGGGCGAAAAGGTCCAGTTATCTTCAGGCACGTACTAGCCACAGTAGGTACCTAGTCTGGTCTGGAGATGCTGTCGGAACAGCGGTTGAGGGGTTGTTGAACTTGTTGGTTCTTTGTCCTTGTCTGAGTCGCAGCTTGAAACGCGGGCTCAGTCGAGGTAGGCGGTGAAGAGTTTAATTTCAAGGTTGTAGTGGCTGTTCTTGGAATGGTGAAATGACCAGTCAGCAATGTAGTTCTTAAATACGGATGTCTGAGTCGCGGCTTGAGGGATGATGATGGTGCTTTTGGTTTTGGGGCATGAGAGTGCGAAATGCGATGTGTGTGGGTGCCACCCGATTAAGAAAGAGGGGGTCCCCGATGAGTGGATGTTACTTGTACCTCGCAGCTAACTTCCATTGCCCGAGCGCTGGCCAAAGAAAGACAGACAGACAGACACTCGTTATGGAAGACGTGGAAGGACTTGTTTTGTTTTTCTTGGAAAGTTTATTTTTGGGAAAAGAGGCAAACTTGCCAGGCAGAGAAGAAAAGAAGATAAAATAGCAACAGACAGTTCCAGCAAACAGTTTGCGGAACAAAGAGAAGCAGAAGCAGTCAAACGAAGGAGGGGTTTAGGTGCTAAATGAATGACGGGAGGCTATGATGCGTCGTACTGCCATGAAAGGTCCAACGGTTGGTCGGAATTTCTCTGGGCAGAAACAACTGGATCCAAAGAGAAGGGCAGGCAGATAGGTACAGTAGGTATGCAATGCAATGCGAGTCGACAGGAGAAAGGACAAGGTAGACTGAACTGAACTGAACTGAAAAGGAAATGGTATTCTTTCTTTACTCACCAGGAATACTAAAAGCACTGTGATGCGCAGGAGGCATGGAAACCGTCTCTTTGGCACTTATAAGGATGAGATATGATAGCCGAGGTGGATAAGGCGCTGGCTGATGCGAGAATAATAAGAGTATGAATGATATGACAAGTCAAGTCGAGCAGAAAGGGCACGGCTGGACAAAGTACCCGATTTATACTCGGGAAGTGTGAGGTAATCTGTTATGTTATGTTCTGGTCTGGTCTGGCCAGGTCTTGTATTGCTTGAGCTGAGCAGAGTTGTGCTTTGCTGCGCTGCGCTGCTGTGCTGTTGTGGTCGAGGAGGGTGAAGTCCTCAGTCCTAATCGGGAAATAGAGTGATGGTGGGCCACCGAAATGCAGGGTTCAGGTCCTTGATGTACGGTGATGTCGTTCGTCCCTCGGGATGATGTGAGGTGAGGCACAAGAGATAGAAGAGAGCACAGTCCGGTTTGTTGGTAGTTTGCGATTATCGAAAGACTAATGGAAGAAAGCCTAGGTAGGTACAGTAGATGGAATTATTGCTTTTTGGATCGCGGGGTGCGTCTCAATTTATCAAAGCGCACAGGTCGAGACAGATGGATCTGATCTGATGTCTGTCTGATGGGTAGACTAGGGTTTGTAGCAGGACCTCCACAGCTATGGCGTAAGACTGGCGGCAGGATCGGATAGTTTGGGAATGACAAGATAGGTCAAGCAGGATGGGCGTTCTCGATTTGTCGGGCCAAGGCAGGCGGTCTGAGGTTTTATTGTATTTCTGGCGCCGCGCAAGTGAACTGGAGGGGCCTAGAGCTTGAGGACAGGTGATGGCCTGGGCGAGGTGAGGGTGGTGTAAGTAATTTAGACCACTTAACAATGGTGACGATAAGTCGGTCAAGGGTCCAACACAGTTAAACGCTCAGCCGTGGCTGAGGGGGGGGTCGATAAGATCCGATACGAACAAGGCCCATACACCAATGTAAGGGTCTCCCGTCTTGTCTTGTCTTGGTGGTTACTCTCACGAAGGTGGTAGGTATGGACGACGATCAAATGGTATTGAATAGTAGGCGGGAAGGAGGAGCTGCGTTTCGGAGGTAGGCAGGTAGATTGCTAACGACTGTCTTTTCTTGTTCTGTTCTTAGCCTTGCTCTTGATCTTGTAATAAACTTCCTCTCCCTCGACTGTTCTTCCTCTTTCCCTTCGTCTCCTTTGGCTATGCTTACTCCTTCAGAAAAATCCGTTTCGTTTCGAATACAGTTCCAATTGACGACGTATCTGTAAAGGCCAGGCCAAAGAATAAGGTCCTTTTCTATCACAGCTGCAAGATGAGATCTTCGATCATTTGCCGCAGGCTAAAGGGCACAAAGATCCCCTAATTTATACTCCCAAAAACGAGCTAAAAATACTAGGTACGGCCATCAAGTCAGATGTACAACTTCCTTCGTCTCTGGCCCGCCTGACACCAAGTATTCCGGACGAAACGTGGAGGCGGCGGTCACTGGTCCCCTTGAAGTTGTATGCAAACTGGGCTTAGACTTGGACATGAATCGAGAAAGTTGGCGGTAATGGTGGCCGCCATGGTCTTTTGCTATCTCCGTTCTGTTTTGCAGTGCGCATAGCACTTGTCGAGAGTTGATAGTCAAGGGAGGAGGGTGTGGGTGTTAGTGTGTGGGTGGGCGCCAGCTGAACGTGACTTGAGATTTAAGACACCAAGCCCAAGTCTCCGTTTGGACTCGAAGGACTCATCGGGAATTGCTACATGCAATCGATTATCCCATCCTAGCTTCCTCCTCTTGCGCTCGGTCATGCGCTGAAGGCTTTCCCATCCTTTCTGGGCTTCCCTGTTCACGCGCTCCAGCTCAAGACCACCATCTTTTGTTACAGAATATCTCAACACGGCTGTTTCTCGTAATAAAGGTATACGGCGGAGTGTTTTGGAGTAAATGAGAATCAACTTTCGTCAGCCTGACGACACTCTGATACTGATGCCTAGGGTACCGGAGTGAGGCTGGGCTTTACTACGATATCTGCCTTGTCATGTAGTAACGTTATATCGCCCTTTCCACCTTGCTTCTAATCTCAGCATGGATGGAGGTGTGTATGTCTTTCTGTCAGATTATCCTCACGGTTTGCCGACTTAGTTCCCTACGGATCGCGTCCGGCCCTCTACGGTCCGCTCCTCAAGTGGTAAACATAGAATGGAACCCGCTCAAGTCTTCTTCCACCCAGACCTTGTCCCTCATGAAGGCACATTTTGGGCATGGCTCACATGTAAGATAACATCAGTAAGCAAGATAGTCTTATGTGCGGTTGGCTAAGTTACTGCTTAGGCTGAACTTGAAACCTCTGTATCTCTTCCCAGGGTCTCGTCCTGCAAGGCTCCGAACTCAGTTCAGCTCGCCCGAGCTAGACTACCTGTTGGATAGAGGTCCTGTGAGCTACTGTAGGTTCCTAGGTATGTACAAGCTATGACTCCCTGGCGATATGCTATGCTTCTCTGTCATGCATGATCCCTCCCGTCCCCGCTGAGGCTTCCATCAATCAAGGACGGGCCGTGCTGGAAAGATGCGGAGCTACAGGCCCAAGTGGCACCAGACCTACCCCAAGCTAGCGTCCACTTTGACGGAGCCAATCATATAATCTCCTCGCCTGCTCAACTGCAGGGAACACTTCTAAGAGGACGACAGAGCAGGCAAGGCTTGGAATGGGTTGTGATCCAATACAAGGAAGGAACCACACACCCAACCCCAACCCATCAACTAGTGTCGCCCTCCACTCACTATCAACTACCAACTACCAACTTCACTCCTCTTCAAACGCCCAATCACCCCCGTTTTGTTCTCCTTCTCGCGCGAAATACTCCGCTCCTCTTGTCGCACATCTGCCGTTGCTTCTATCGTTCCTTTGCTGATAGCTGCCGCTTCCGACCATTTTCCAGCGGCACGCGCGGTAATCTACCGCTGTAATCGAATCCGAGCCTCGCACCCCCTTAGGTTGACTCCAAGCCTCCAACGACTCGTGGCACCGTATCTACGTCGCCGCCTTGCGCAAACCAGCGTCGTCAGCGCGCTGTTCACATCCTGTAAGTGACAGATCGCGGTAGGCAGCCAATTCTGCCCGCCCCGTTTACTTTACCTTTGCCTATCTATATTATCGGCACTCGTCGACTGACCGCAACAACCACCTTGCCAGGCCTTCCAAGGAAGTGGATGTTTCTCTTCCAAGTTATCCTCCTAGTTTGATACGAGACCGCCATTATCGGGCACCCTACGACCCTCCCACCCCAGCGTTACTACGAGCTCGAACTCAAGCCCGAATCTGAATCTCAGCCCGAACCTGACCCTGCGCCGCACGATCGACGTATCCGCTCCGTCCCTGTCCTGTCGTTGTTGAACCCGTCCCTTCACGCTCCCGCCCTTCTGGGTCTGCCGCCATGGCCTCTTCTTCCTTCCGAGACTCTATAAACTCCCTTGGCTGGAGTCGTCGCGATGAACCAGTCAACACTTCGCAGCAAAGCGGATTGCTCTCTTCCATACAGAGTTTAAATCCCTTCCAAGGAGGCAGTGGTTATGTTCGCCTTCCCACCACCGAGAGTGCCGGCGCGCCTCTACCTGCGCCCAACCGACGTGAGGAGGAGGAAGGCTGGTTTGTTCGTAAGTCAACCTTGGAATATCATTTCATGTTCACCTATGGCATCCCTGCACCCCTGCAGCGGGACATGTGCATTGCATCTGAGCCATGTCCTGAACTATGCATGTGATGCGAGGTGACATGCCTCGTGGTTAGGAGACACTAACCCGACTGGCAGTTAGTCGATGGGATCGATTGTTGATCTTTGGAGCTTGCAACCTCGCTGCTGTAGCATGTTTCGTCATCTGCTTCACTCTATTCCCCGTCCTCTCACTGAGACCACGCAAGTTTGTCATCTTGTAAGTCGGGAACTTCTGCACGTCCCTTTCGGGCTGCCCTGCGTCGTCCCTTATTCTCCTTGCCGATCGCTGTCACGCGGGCTTGCTACTGCAAGGCCGTTTTGATTGTGTGACTAGTTTTGCCCATACTATGATGTCGTAGATTCGACATGGTGAATTTCAAAATCGCATATAGAAGCTAACACGTGGGTACGCAGATGGTCTGTGGGATCCCTAATGTTTCTGGCGTCGTTTGCCGCTATTATGGGCCCTATGAACTACGTCTATCATCTTCTCTCGACGCCTCGACTGCCGTTCACGGCGGCCTATTTCGGATCCATCACACTGACGCTTGTGTTTGCCTTGAAGGTGTGTTTAGAACTGTTCTGTAGCTCTACAAATACTAATAGACCGGTAGCTTCACAGTACAATTCTCACCTTGTTCTCTGCTCTCGTCCAACTTGCTTGTTTGATCTGGTACTTGATCAGTTACTTCCCTATGGGATCTACTGGTCTGCGTTTTGCCACATCGTTTGGAGCGAGACAGGCGACAGCTTGGATGACGGGCTAGAGAATAATCTTATTCTTGAAGACCAAGCATCCCTAGAGCTTGTCTTATCCTTGAACTTACTCTCATGCTCCAGTGATATTGCAATATTTTCTGCATATCAGCTGAGTGCCTCGTGTAATATTAGCAACAAATGGCGAAAAATAGTTTGTATTTGGGGAAAAGACACTTGTCCATTTTGGATAATGGAAAATGCATTGTGTGCTCAAACACTCTTGTTACTCAAGTTTGAACCTTTACTCAAAGAGCACCATTTCGTGAATTCTGGAGCAGCATCACGAGTTCTGGCTCAAGTCTATAAAGTAACGGGAGGTTTTAGATCGCAATTCTCAACAAACACACAAACTGCTAAAACATGAGCAGTGGGCGACAATAAGGTTCTCACCAAAGGTTGATACATGATATATCTGCAACTTGTCTTCCAGTCATCCGTTAGCTATTAGTTGATATTGGACAAGATAAGATAACGTTAAGAACTGCAGATGCTGTTACCCCAAAAGGGCAGGCCATCAGGTGTTGTGTCCAATAAGCGACCAGCGGCTGAGCGGCCTCGGCTTGCAACCTCGGAAGAGGCTTGACAGTGAGGGTATCAGAAGAGGTAGATAGCTCAGTAGAGGAATTATTGCAATCACAGGCTCGTGATTCCAGCCAAGATATTGCAAGGATCCTTCGGGCTACTCGGAGCATTAGCTCCCTGCACTTGGAGAAGTAGACTATAGGTATGCGTGTTTGTTTGTAAATGGAGTTCATCAAGCTTCAGGTAACCGTATAAGTCAATACAGAGCGTGGTTGTAGGGACAGCAAGACCATGGCTGGAACCAACTAACATAACATGTCTCTATTGGTCAACTACGATGTGTATTGATCTGGTACAGTGGAACTGGATTCTGTAGCTGTTTGCTCCATACTAGTCGTAGCATCGGTATCCATCGTTTGTCTGTGGGTTGTTGTGCCCTCTTTTGGGGCGCGTAAAAACGGCAAGCAATTTATTCAATCGTCATGGGCTTGTTTTATCTACGTACATAGCTTGTACACACAGTTGTTGAAATCGAAGTTACTCGCTTGCTACTGGGGATCTAAGCTTAGGGCACCGAAATAAAGTACCAAGCCTCAAGTGTTGGTCCTGCTCTTGAAGGCCATACTTCTGATACCATGACGGCTTGGCCCTGGTCTGATGCTCTTGTAAAGTATTGCGACTGCGTGTCTTGGCGAACATCAAACACGTCAATAGACATCCAAAGTATCGTGATTTTAGTTCTGGCGATCCAAGGTTGACTCGTTGGTAGACTTTGCCCCAAGGTACCTACCTAGATAGATGACCATTGTTTTAAATTGAAAAGGAAATCCCGAACATCTAATTCCAAACTACCTATGACATCCATGGCTTGCCTTGGATAAGCCCCAAGCCGCTACCATGTTACTTACATGGATCAGGCTTTGTTGGAGACATGAAGAAATCTGGTTGCCCTGGAGTTTGTGTCAAATGTCTGATTGTCGTGTACAAACTGCGTATTTCAACCTCGCGCTGTGTATCCATGCCACCCCAACAGGATGGAGCTCACTGAAGTTAAATTCTACTATACCTAAGGTATGTAACAAGGTTAGCAGATAGCATGGAAGTTCGTGACGCCTGAAGAAGCCGAAAGAAGCAAAGCTAAAAAACAATCATTCAGAGAAAAATACTCGCAAAGTCACTGCAACATAACCTAAGAAAAGCCGAATTATATTCGCGCATCTCCACCCTATCACGGTCGTCCGGGTTCGGTTGGTGGTCTTGACCTCTACCCAGACCTCTTCCGGGGTCTCGGGTTCATGACGGCTCCTCGCAGTGAGTAAGTACATGAGTGTAAGTGGGGCACAGTCAAGTCAAGAGTGAAGTCGGGTGCTAGGTTGCTTATTGTATCTTTGATTTGCCCTGAATTTGGAAGATGATCTCGAGACCCTGACTTGACTTGACTATCCGGGCTACCTTAGTGTCTACCTAGTATCGCTTGCAGACCAGGGCTTTGCAGACTCCGAGTCAGTAATAAACTACCCAGGTGGCGCTCTGGCTCAATGAGATTTCATCGAGTTCAACAAACTCATTGTACGCGCAGTACTCTGCCTACTATCTAGAAGCATCTATGTAGTATGTTGTGAAGTAGGTAACTCGACACAAAGGTTTCCGTCTCCCCCGCAGCTGACCTGCTTGTACAAGGCACTGCACTGCAATGCGCTGATTGAGTACTGCCCGGGTACTAAGGTTGCAGTTCAGTCAGGATTGGTCTGTAAGCTCTGCAGTGCATCATTCATAAGTAAGGATGTCGACATCCAATAGGCAAACAGGCCATGGCTATGCATCTTTGTCTTGTTCAGTACTCGGCAAACAAATCCCTGTAGCGTCAAGGGAGTACGCCAGAGGGAGGGAGTAAACAGCAATCAATCATTAAAAAAAGACAGGAATCAGAAATGAAGAAACCTAAGAGAAAGGCTAGTAGAATAATAAAATAAAAATACTACGTGACTGTGCGTATCCGCTTAAAGAGCAAGAAAAATCTAACAAGGTAGGTAGTAGGTGATTAGAGTGGGAAGGAAGAGGTTCCCTCTACGCATTCATCCACCATCCTTCCTTACCTACCATCGTCAGGTAGGTCCTTCCCAAGGAAGGATTCTCATTCGGCGCATCGGTACCTTCTCGATCAGTTAGCCGCAGTACATTTCCGTGGTACCTTCCGCCTGCGGATCAGAACTACCTTACTTAGAATTTAGAGCCTACCCACGCTGCGAGTAAGAGAGGGGGGATAGGCATAGGAAAAAAAATTTATTATTCACACAACGCAAAAAATAACCTCCGGCGTGCATTTTCTCTTTCGTTGCCTGTCCGGTCTCCGTGCGCCCTCTTCCTGTAAAACACACTTCTCTCGCCAGCCCAATTCTATTTTATAAGAATTGCCGCTGCAAATCTCTTTGCCCTGGTCCAAGGTTACGTTTGTATACCTACATACGCTTACCTGATTCCCTCCCTCCCCAACTTTCCCATCCGTCACTTGAACCCTCCATCATAACCACCCCGCCTGATTGTTCCTACGCTTTTCTCTGACACGGACAAAACATTGCAACGCAGCAAGCAGACATATTCGGATTGGTTTCTGATTTCGATTGTGATACCAGTACCTGATATTTTTGCCTTGCAATCGCCTTGTCCTTGTCAGGCATTTAAATCTCTTTGGCTCTGCACTTGACCTGGAGAAAAAAAAAGTTCCAAGGCCAAAATAGCACAGCCCGGGTGTCCTGATTTTCTTCCGTTGCCCAAACACGACAATCTTTTACTTCAGACCATCAGTCTCGGTTAAGCAGACATATTCTGACATCGCAGAAACGTTCGCTTCTCCTCCTTTGAACTTCTGAATCGCCTCGCACGCATCGTTCGCGCACAATTCGACTCAGCCATTAGGTCTGAAGCCCTCGACTCCCACCTTCAACCTTAAACCCTTCCCTCGACTCGCATTCTCGATATCTGGCCGCTTGCTCGATTCGTCGCGACAACCGACGCCCTCATCTGTTGGGAGTATACAAACAGCAAACGACTGTATTGCACACAGGTGCTTTGCGCCTCTTCTAGAGTCCGGAAGGGCTTGAGAGACATTCTGGGATTTTCTCTAGAAATATTCAGTTTCATTTGCTGGTCACCCGAGTGAATTAGACACATTTGGTCTACTTTTTCCGCGACCTTACGACGGCAAATCTTTACAGCACGGCTCACTTCGAAATGAGTCCATCAGCCATTATAGAGACCAACGATACGGTCGCTCCTTCGATGACTTCCTACGCACAAGCTGCGAAGGGCAGTAACACTGTCCCTGCCTCAAATAGTACCACTGCTTCCACCGACCCCGCTGCTTCCGTCCAAGATGGCCAGGCTTCCACGGCAGACACTGGCTCTGCTGCAGTAGCAGTAGACGAGAAGGCTTCGCTACCTGCCTCCGAGCATGTCAACTCTGAAACTCCTGAGAACGCTGACTCCCCTGCGGTTGCATCGGAGAAGCAGGATGTGGAGAGCGTTCCTGGTTCTGAAAGCGACGCCCGCTCCGAGTCGACACAAAGCAGACGAACCGAGTCGAGGCGTGAGGACGACGGTGGAAGAACCGATCGCCCTTGGCGACGCAATGAGAAGACACCAAGGTCTTCAAGCAATGCTACAAGGTCTGTCGACGAGCAGGACTCCCGAAAGGCCAGGCGAGGTAAGAAGGGCAAGGCTTCAGAGAAACAAGCCGGTGAACAAGCGACAGACAAGGAGCAGGAGGCAGTTCCCGAGCCACCAAAGGTTGAACTTTCCGAAGCTCCCATTCCTAGCGTCAACGTTTGGCACAAACGCAAGGAGGCTCACCAGGCGAAATCCACCAAGCCTGCCCCTACGCCCGTGGAGGCTACAGTAAACGGCACCTCAAGTCACAAGGACGACAAGAAGACCGAAGTGTCACCTGCACCCCACACAAATGGTGTTAAGTCACACCAAAGACAAAACAGCGCTATCCGAGCAGAGCGAAATGGCCCTCGAGGCTCAAGGATGAACGAAAAGGATGGCAAGAGCGAAGTCCCTCCTTCGGTCGACGACTCGGCAGCGTGGCCTACTCCCGAGACTGCCATTTCTACCATCAAGGAGGACGGCAAGAAGAAGGCGGTTGAGAAGACACCCGAGAAGTCCGACCGGTCTGATAAGGATAGCCAAGAGGACGGTAGCTCGTCAAAACCCCGACAGAAGTGGGTGAACGTGAACTTCGTCCCTACGGTCAACTTTGAGACTCAACTCCCTCAAATGCGTGGCTCTAAACCCCGCGGTGGCGCTCGTGGTAGTCGCGATACTACCAACCGAGCAGCTACCAACGGTGCCACAGATAAGCTGGCATCCACCTCGCCGGCAACCAAGGTCAATGACAACAAGCTTCGGGATACCTCCAACAACGCCGCATCGCAGTCTGCGTCCAAGCGTGCATCGGTTGAGATTGCCAACGGTCAGAAGAAGACCTCAACAAATGCGGGATCTGATAAGGCCAAGGACCCTTCCGCCCAAACTACGGTAAGTAACGTCGTGTGATGCACGTATTCTTGGACTCGAAATCAACTCACCATGCATTTGCGGTATGCTAATCATCATCTCGCACAGGAGACTCCCCAGGCTTCCCGCGATCGCCCCGAAGGCCGCGGCGATAGAGGTAGGGGTGGCTACCGCGGACGTGGCCATCATGGCCACTCCCAGTCTCAGCATGCTATTTCTGGGCCTGGATATCATGGCCAAGGTGCCAATGCATCCCGAGCTCAAGGTTACAGCCCCCCTATGCGACAAGGTGGTCATGGTGGCGTCTTTACGCCTTCTCAGCGAGGACGTGGCCGCAATGGCGCCAACAACTTCCATCGCATGTCTGCGCCCAACAGTGGCAACCGCATGCCCGTCGCCCAGCCTCAATACCCTCCCTACGATTATGCTATGGCGGCACCTATGGAAGTAACTCCTTATCCACAACTCAATTTCGGTCAGCTTCTTATGCCTGCGCTGAAGTCTCAAGTCGAGTACTACTTCTCTGTCGAGAATCTTTGCAAAGATATGTTCCTCCGAAAGCACATAGATTCGCAAGGCTTTGTCAGTCTTCACTTCATCGCTGCTTTCAATCGGGTAAGAAGTTTGACCGAAGACATCAACCTTATTCGACATGTTTGCGAGGAATCAGTTGAACTCGATTACGGCGTCACAGACGACGGTATCGAGCTTCTTCGTCGTCGAGAAGGCTGGCAAACATTTGTCCTGCCAGTCGAAAGTCGAGAGCAAATGGCTCGCAGGGAACCCGGCAACGTCACTTTCAAGAATGGATCCCACGGCTACACCAATGGCCAACTCAACGGTGTCCCACAAATGCCATACGGTACTATGTATGCTCAAGACCCCTCTGTCCAGCACTTCGCACCGTATGGCGTTGATGGAGTCGCCCCAACTGGCACCGGCCAGCTCTCAGCCACAGTCCCTGACTTCTCCCCTTCTGGAACTGTTCCTCTTGTTGGCCCCAATGGCGAAACCCAGATTACCAGTGTTGAAGCTCTCACCAACGGCCATGCTGAGAATGCCACGCCACTTACCAACGGTGTGCACGCTGAATCATCCGAAAGTGCTGAGTCTTAAACTACTCCCTCAGAAATAAGAACGTCGCTTGTTGTGGATATACTCTGCCTGTGTTTCCTTATGGCCTAGTGTGCGGCATATCTGAATTTGCTGTCACATCGTTGATCTGGGTCGATACGAATTTACGCGTCCCAGGTTTTGCCAATGTTTTTACGATTTCAAGTCGCTGGTCAGAATTTGCTTTTGTTTTTACCCTGTCTATTATCAGCCCGACACTGTCGATCGGGTTTTGACCCTTGTCTTCAATAGAGCATACGGCACATAAGCTGGTGAGTCTTGAGGGTGGCTTGCGGTCTATCGAGCCAAGGTTACAGGCGTACAGAGACACCAAAGATGGTTACAGTTGTCGAATTTCCCCGACAGAATGCGAAAGAGGCAGAGGGGGCGAGGATACGATACAGATATTTGATACCCCATTAAGCGATTCAAATGGCCAAAGCGAACTGTTACGCTAGGACGACTGAGGAAGGTCTCCACGAACGACATATGGTTGACTCGAAGGCTCGATTCATTGGTTTTCAGAGGGGGCGTATTCTAGGAAGGTGTTTTGTTTGTTCGGAAGGCGCCGGGGCATGGGAAAACACGTGCCACAAGGTGTCTATGCCACAGTATTTGACATAACCTCGCGGGGCGCCAGGCGGTTGTGATGGTAACCGTGGAGCGAGAGGCGTCGGTCTTCATGATTGAATCAAAATATGCTGAAGCAAGGGGCCTTCGGAGGTTGCGGATTTACGGATTTAAAAGGACATGGAAGAAGAAAAGCATATGATCTCACAGTATTGGGGTTCGACACACTGACTTTTTTTTTCTCGACTGCATTTAAAAGGGGTTTTAGGATGGTCCTGTTATAGTATCGGTGTTGATTTTTATCTTTTTATTCACATTCGAGGCATCTGATTCTAGATAACGCCTTCGAACTTTGTGAAAAAAAGGAGTATGTTGTTGTTTTCAAAAGCTGTACAATAGTTTCAATGTTCCATACAGAAAAAAAAACTTGTCGAGAGATGTCTGCTGCTTTCTCGTGTATGGCTCTGCATTCATAACGCTGAATGGGGGATATCAGTGTCTATCTACTAGTAGTTTACTAACTATGCTACAGTTAGGGCTCACTAATACAGGTCGTGCATAGATGAGAAATAGATTTGATGTCAAGTTACGTACGAGATTGGCTCTTCTCCTTGGAAAACAAATGATGTTTTACTGTCCGCTATTGTTACGGTTGCTGGCGTTGGTCTTGTGGCTTTTGTTGGTAGATGCTATTATCTTAGATGGATCTATTCTACCAAAGCGTCATGATATGAAACTTAGATAAGGCACCTACAAGTAGGTAGCTCATCGTATCATCATATTGGCGGGGTTAATGAGGGGTCGTCCTTAGACTTGGCTCTAGGGTACGTTATCTAGTCATGAACCTTTACCAGACTAAGTCCATTCATTAACTTAGTACCTACATTTATTTCTTGATCTCCACTGGACAATAGTGATGTTTAAGACCTTTGTGCTTTCGAGGCTGTCTAGCGAAGATATGCCATCGGACAGATAGATGCTTCTATCTTTAATGGTTACATTGATTAGGAAGTGATGTAGCAGACTTAACCGTGCGTATAAAAGGCATCGATGAATTTATCACAGATAGTCAGCGTCTTTACATGCATCAGTACTCTTTACTTACGATGATATAAATGCCTATTAGGTAGGCAAGGCTACTGATATAGCAGAAGCTTCATGGGTTTTTTTATACTGTTTATATCGTACCCATGGATACTACTAACCTCCACTAACAATGAAAAGAATTAAGCTTTACAGACATATGCCGGCCAATGACGTCACTACCCGTAGTTAGCGCAGCCACTCACGCGCATCTGAGCTGATGCTTGTACAGACCTCATCAACTTGATCGCCCTTATTGATACCCTAAACCCAAGATAATATACGAATTTTGAGCTCTTTCGTGGAAGGAAGAGTGAAGGCGCTAAGCATATGGTCTCAATTGGCAATATAATCCATTATCCGCCATGCCGCCAGTTGTTTCCGGACGCGTTCGCAAATCAGACCCCAAGCAAAGCGCGTCTAATTCCAAAGCCAGAACCAAAGAAGACCGCATAGCACGAAGGAGGGCAAAAGCAGCCGATGATCAGCTCCAATGGGAGAATCAATACCTTCAAGGTAAACCTGCAGCATATTTTGCTGGGTATGATCGTGAGGTGATTCCTAACATGTCGCCTTTTGTTCAAGTTACTTCCCCGTTCAAAGGACTTGGTAAGATCGAGTTCACAGCTGAGACGGACGAACCTGGCTGGGACTTCTTTCGCTCGTCCAGAGGTAAAAAGTCTAATCCGAATCATCATGTGTTTGTTATGCCTCATCAGCACATTGGTAAGGCTGGTTGCTGTTCGACCCATTATGGTACTTGTTTAGCTCATGCCTCGCAGAACGAATCATCATCATCCCAGCAATTCCTGATGGCAATCTCAAGTGGATTGTCCTGATCGTTCCAACAGCTGCGACTGGATCCTCACTCGCGGTCAGGAAGTACCCCAAAATCATTCAATTCGAAATTCCTGAAACTGATCTTGACGGCGCAAAAATACTCAGAGGTGTACATGATTTTCCGACTTTCAAGAACCACCTTATAAATCCAGACAAACAGGAAATAGTTTTTGTAAAACAACCGAAGAGTCAAACCCAGCCGAAGATGTTCGACTGTACCGTGAATCTAGATAAAGTGGAAGATAGCTACTTGGAAAGAGGCATTGGTGAGTTGCAAATACGAAGACCAAATGCACAGAAAGCTCACTGGGACAAACGCAGGATCACTTTGTTTTTTCCCAGACGGCATCCTATGGGACGGAGAAACTCCTTTGTATTTTCCTGTGTCTTCCATAACCTTTTGCATGCTTACCTTTTCGAAAGAAAGTGTTCGCAGCGGTGCATGGCATGAGTTCAGGACAGTGGCTGTGGGCCTTATGATACAGGCCAAGGAACCGTTCTACGAGGGAGAAGACCAACCCAAAAAGCCTTTCCTATACTTCAAGGACATCCAGGGCTTTGGAACCAGGAGGAAACACATTGAGGGTTTCTGCGCGGCACATCAGATAAACCTCCAACTGGTCGAACAGCTATTCTATAGCTACGACGACAACACGCCCATGGGCGGCTGGATGCCTCTGAATGGAGACGGTTATGACTCAGAGGACCATGGCCTCGAATCAGATCCAGGTCCAGATCCAGATCCAGATGTCGATTCAGAGACTGACTCAGAAGATGACGATGACTGCGTTTTTCTAGGAGCTACTTGATAAGTGACAATATGTCCATTGGTATCTAGGAAATGAAAGACTTGTGTATGGAAAACAGACCTCAGTCTGGGACTAGGTCCACACCAAGTCTTCTGTCCAGTGTAGGTGAGGTTATGTAATGTAGGTAGCTAGCAAGTTTATAGATTGAAGATGCATACATCTCTAACACATACGACCATACCTACCAGAAAATACGGGATCCCGTCCGCTCTCCCATAGTCAAGCTGGTAAGGGGCGGATTAGTAGTTGGGTCGGTGACGACCAGCGAATCCCCGCTGTTGTATGT